CCTATAGCCATGAGTGCCCACCTTAAGTTCCTAAATGTGAATATCATGAAAATGTTACGAGTGAATGTCTAAGATGTACAATATGTATCCGTTTTTTTCAAGTAAGAGTAGTGATACTTCATAGTAATTCTGTATTACTCAAGTGAAAGTAAAAAGTATGATTCAATAACACTACTTCTAAAATTACATTTCCCCCCCTAAAACTTACTGAATATGTAACTGAACAAAAAAATAGGTGCCATGAACTCCAATACACTTAGACAACAAAAACAGTGATGAATTTGACTCTTGTGGATTTGATTTAGAACTGGTTTTGTTCTTTGTCATTTTTGTGCAATAAAACTCCATGTAGATAGATAGATAAAAACGTTACACGTCTCTATCTCATATTTATATGATATCATGAGAGTACCAGCAATTCCGGCACTTATTTTTTTGCTTCTATTTCCAAAAAAGTATTTTTAACCCCTAGTATCTATACTTCTTCTTAATTAGGCCTAATGAATGTGAATACTTTTGACACCTCTGATGTAGATATAAACATACACCAGAGACCAGACGCACACACAGCTGGAATGTCAATTAATGTGCATTGTCCCTGCCAAATAATTTAAATTTAATTAAATTTAAAAAAGTTTATAGATAATTAAATATCACTATTTTATGTAACTGAATATTGCACATTCACATGAAATGGAAAAACTTGTTCTAATGGGTTGTAAAGGCACAAAATAATGGAGCAGAGCTGTAACTTGAAGTATGAACGTTGCGTTTTTACATCCACAATCAAGACATAGTAATGGCGGCGCTCTTTACACGGAAGTACACAACCGAGCCGCCATACGTGCGCGAGGTATAGGTGTGAGTTACGTGCTCGTTCTCGATGTCAAACGTGATGACGTACGTTTTTCGCCGCCTGTTGGACTGTCTTTCACAGTTGGTGACGAGTATTATAAAAATGGCCTCGACCCTACCCGCAAACCCGAGTATCCAGAGAAGATGACGACATTACGCTTGTTAAGTCAGTTAAACAACAAAGTGTTTCCTTTAAATACGTAGATGATAGTGTAATAAAGCAAAAGGAAGAGACTCCCAGTAACGAAAACAGTCCGGAGCGCTGCATATTTTCGTTCGGCGGGTGGCTGAGGATTCACCACCATGGAGGATATCAACTCTAATATCAACGCGGACTTGGAGGTGCGGAAGCTCCAGGACCTGGTGAAAAAACTCGAACAGCAAAACGAACAGCTTCGCAGTCGGTCCACGATGCTGTCTTCGTCCGGAGCGATGTCGGAGAACCACAGACCTCTCAGCGCCGGAAACGAGTCGTCCCTGTCAGTGGGGCTGGCAGCCGGTCTGGCCGGCTTCCCTGGGGTGGGGTTCGGCGGTCCGGGCGGCTACGGTGGGCTGCTGGAGAACAACCGCTGCTCCAGACCCAGGCTATCCTACGACGGCATCAGCTTCAAGAGGGCGTACGAGTGTGAGGGGGCATCTGCTGCCACCTCTGTACAGTCGAGCATGAACTCCCTTTACTCAGACAGCGCCGAGGGGGAAAGCTCTGTTCTAGATGAAGTGGACATCTTAGATCTTGAGGACATGGATTGTCTAAACGAAGACGAGGACAGCTGGTGAGTGACGGCTTTGTCTGGGGAGGAAACTTGCTTGTAAAGCTTGGTGGGCTTGGTGACAGCTTTAATTGCCTGTGGACAGCTGCTCTGCACATTAGGAAGGCCTGGCACAAACAATCACCTCACTAACTTGTCTTTAGTCTGAAGGAGCCTCACTGTGGACCACTCAGGGCTGGTATTGTTGTGTTTTGGCACCTCAAATGGGCGATGTCAGGTCAGAGCTCTGACTGTCAGACCCGACTGCTTTGTCATATCACTGCCTGCTGACCTGCTGGGAGTCAAAACCCTGAGGACCCTGAGCTCCATCTTGTTTGTCCTGTTTTTTCTGATGTGGCAGTTTGTTTGGCATGTCCTGGCAGTGGTAGCTGGGGATCAGTGTGTACAGATCAAACTTGTTTTCTACCCAGCAGCCATGTGAAAGAGGTAGCCATGGTTATAGTCTTCCTTTGAGCTCCCTTCAGCACAACAGTTGGCACTCAGCTACAAGTGCTCTGCAACTGAGAAGTGTCTATAGGACAGTCTTATCTTGCTAAAACAACGTTACAAAGCTGGTCTCAGCTTTGCATTTGCATCAGTGTCTTGCGGACACGTTCAAATTTTTTGTCACTTCAGTAGAAAACAAAACCAAATATTAGTTTATTTAGTTTATTTATTTCTTCATCATCAGTGAAGAGAAAATAGAGACAGAGAGARAAACAGAGAGAGAAGTAATTWGAAAGATRGAAAGACTGAAATAGMGATTAGAAGTATATTAAATATACACCAACAAAACACAGGACCACACACCCAACATCTGTCCGCTCACCTGAAAAATAAATGGATAAATACATACAGTAGAAGGCATTTATAAAAAATATACACATACCCATACATATATAAAGATATACATACATAC